ACGAATACTCTAGGAATGCCGAGTTCTGGTAAACGTTTTAATTTCGTTTTCTCTCCCAGTCCAGTACCGCCATGCATAGACAGAGTTGCGCCGCACATCCCAAACTTACAAGTTGCGTAGAATCTTGTTTAAGTAATAATACAGCTTTACAGTTGCTTTCTAGAATAACTGATATAAAAAGTTCACTTCTACAAAATCAGTGACGAATTCGATTAACAGCTTTGGTTACGGGCGTGTCTGGTGTGCAACTGGTGCGTCGCCCACTCCCCGATCAATTAACCCCTGCGATATAAAACTTATTGTAATGCCGAGCCAAAAAACTTGGTGGCTCGCGCCTCCCGGGTCGGAAAACTAATTTAACGCTTGCCTGCGCCACGGGAAGCGATTTTGTCTCCGTATCTTCCAAAATTTTCGCTCTCGTAATTGTTGTTACCGAAAGCGCTTTTGAAGCTGACGGAGCGAAATCCTGCGCCGCTCCCGTTTGGGGTATTCTGTAATTTTTTTCGCTGGCCCGAACCGTCAATCTTGATCGCGTATTGGTCGTGTTGGCGTACCTCCACGATACCGCCCGTCTTGTCCCATTTGTTGGGGTGGGGCCCTGTCTGGTTCTGTACCTGGACTAAGTCCCCTACCGCAAGCGGCGGAAGGCGTTTAGTGTGCTCCGCCCAGGTGTCAGCTGTGCGGATGTGGCGTTTGCGGAGGGCCTCCTCCCTTGCTTTCAGGGTCTCGCGTCAAGTCTCGTGCGGTATGTACTTCCCGGGGATAATCGGGATGAAATCGCGTATCGGGCGGCCGAAGACACATTGCCGGGGAGATCTTCGTGTCAGGGTCAGGTGTGTTACGATATTGCAGTATCACTCTCTGCACAGCGTCAGTGTCAAGTTCTCCCTTCGGGCCGGTGTTGTCAGTGATAAGTCGTTTCATCGTCTTCACTCCAATCTCTGCGCGACAGTTGCTGTGGGGGAAGGCCACCGATGACAGGCGGTGGTGTACGCCCCATCTGTGCAGGAACGACCTGGTCTCGGTGGAGATGAACTCTGGTCCCCCGTCCGATGCGAGCTCTTCTGGCGTCCCGTACGTCACAAAGGAGCGACGTAAGTAGTTTATGAGGCCAGTGGCACCACCCGTCGACTTCGAGATGATCGGCCAGTTCGAGTATCGGTCCACCGTCACGAGGTAGTGTACGCCTCTGTGTACGAAGAAGTCCGAGCACACTGCCTGAAAGAGGTAAACGACCAGAACAGGTGGGGTTGGCGGCGCTCCAGGCTGTGAGGGTGCTATCCGGTGGCAGTGTTCGCAGTTTTTCCGAGTGGCGCTGATGTCAGCCGACATGCCTGGCCAGAACACAGAGGATTCTGCATGGGCGGTCATCATCGATATGCCCTGGTGGGCAGCGTGTAGGGCGCTCAGCACCTCACCGCGGAGTGAGGGTGGTATGACTACACGGTCCTTGTATAGGATCACTCCGTCTGTCGATGTAATGTTCTCGCGGTACTGGTGAAAGTCGCGAATCATCTCCGGCATCTCGATCTTTGAGGCAGGGATGCCGTCCACTGCCATTTCCTCCAACATGTGCATATCGCCGTCGCTGCTGGTGGCCTCCCTGACGCGGTCCTATGTCACTTATCACAATGCTTCGAGGCCCGCGGCGCACCATGCCAGGTTGTCCTCCTCGACGTCGGCGTCGTTCTCCGGCTCAGCTTGGTGTAGGAGAGATAGGACGTCGGTGTGCGTGCTGGGTGGGAGGTGGTTCCCTATGGTGGCATTGTCGTCCGGAAGGTCAATGAGTGATGGTCGCGTCGTGCTGACCGGCCGACGTGACATGGCATGCACCGCCTTGTTCTTCAACCCCAGGATATGTATGATGCGGAAGCGATAACGCAGGGTCTTCTCCTTGAGGTTCCTGAGGTGGGGGTTGGGTATGTCGTCAAGTGCTCTGTCCGCAAGGAGTTTCAGGAGCGGCTTGTGGTCTACCGCTATGATCAAGTTCTCGCAGCCCAGCACGAAGTAGCGCGCCTTGTCCAAGGCGTCCGCAACTGCGAGAGCCTCGCCTTTTATGGGCGTGTATCTGGATTCCGCCGCGTTTGTGAATCTGCTGCTGACCAGGGTTATCTTCCATCCATCTGTGCAGCAGAACAGTCTGACTGGCGTGCATCGGCAGTGCTTTTGAAACAACCAGAACCCAATGGCCTCCTTCGACCAGTCCTTGGCGATGCATGTTGGCTTGGTCTTGTCAAAGATGCGGACACCACGAACAATCACGTCCTTCGACTCGCGGAATATGTCCTCTAACTCTGGGGACCACTCGAAGTGTTCTCCACTTTTCAGGAGCTTCTGGAATGGCTGCATTCGTTCGGCCATACTAAAGGCATAGGCCACTTGGTTGACCAGCCCGAACCACGATCTGACGTCAGTGACGTTACGCGGTTGGGGGAAATCGCGGATCGCCTCCAGGTAGCGGCTGCACGGTCGCACGTCGGTCATGGTGATCGTGAAGCCCGCGAAGTCCACCGTGGGCGCGCTGAAGATGAACTTCTCCAGGTTGAGGATGATTCCATTCCGGCCGCATATATCCAGCCATTGGATATATCACCTCGATCGTATCTGACCATAGTAGCGTGTCAGCCACGCACTTAGTCTTGTCACCAATGTCTGCGACGATCTCGTCGTATCGTCGTGAGTAAGCGTCCCCCGATGCCATGTACCCTTGTGGGCCGATAGGTACCAGTAGCGCCCCATGGAGTGATGAACGTCGTCTTGTGGCGGTCGTCCTCGTGTAGTGGGACGCTGTGGTAACCGTTTCATGCGTCGAACACTGTCTTGCGCTTCTCATTAGGTACACGTCTCGCCTGGTGGAATGGGGATTGGATGTGGTGGGTCTCGCGGAACGCATGCTTGTTCAAGGCCTGGAAGTCGACGGTGCGTCGCGGCTTGCCGTTCTTTTTTGCGCAGACTACCATGCGGTGACACCATGTCCCCGGCGTACCGACGGGTACTTCCTTTAACACCCCAGAGACGAGGTAAAAGCAGGCCTCGACCAGGACGTTCGTCTCGCCAGTGTATGGCCACGGGGATGGGAGTGTGACAGGCAACCGGTGTCGCATCCTCATCGAGCATAAGACGTAGCGGCGGGCCGGTCATTCTCGGTAGGGGCTGGTGTGGGCATGTATTGAATGTGCTCTGAGCGTACATCCTGATTAAGTGTGTCTGTAGTGCTTCCCTGTTGGCCTCGGTCGCCAGCATGGGGAGTGTGGTCGGCTTGGTCGGCGGCTCCGCACGTCGCGGGCAGTCACACAATTCCGAGGTCGTCAGGTTCACCTCCCCGAGTGTTGGGAACTTGTCCGAGATCATACCCAGGTCTACGCAGGCTGCGCGGGAGAGGAATATGCGGTCCGAAGTGTCCGTCACGTACGCGATTTGGCGCGTCTCCAATCTCCGAGCATTGTCACTGTTACCGGCGAATCTGACCACCACGGCTCCGAGAATACGAATTCCCCCGTTGTTTGCAGCCTTCATGGTCATGGACACAGGTATGAGCTCCTCGGTTCTCAGGCCCATTTGTTGGGCGACTTTAATGCCGATCAGGCAGCTCTGGCACCCCGTGTCGGCCATAGCGGGCAGGGTGACTGCGCAGGTGCATTTCAGGAGGTTAAAACCCAGCGCTTTGTAATCTTCGCGCTTGTTGGTGAGAGTGAGGTTGACGTATGGCTGCGGGCTGGACGCACGTTTCATCCACTTATCGCACATATCATCGTACAGGTGGTGAGCGAAGGGAAGTGTGCGTAACTCGTCGTCCGCGCTGGCCACGGTGACCGTGCATAGCTCGACGAAGGCTGCCGTCTGCTCGTCGCACATCCCGTCGGTTTCCTCAGATGGGGGCCTAGTCGGTCAGCCGCCCAGGCACGCCTTGTCGAGGGGATTCTGGTGGCCACACTTCCGGCACTTCTTACCATACCTGGGGCACTCGGTGCGTCTGGCGCGGCAGTCAGGCGTCTTGCCGTGGCCCACCTCGCCGCAATAGATGCATACCACTTCGGGCTTGGCCTTCGGTTTCTCCGGCCTGGCTCCTCCCCTGGTGCGGACGTCCTGCTGTTTCCCCCGCCGATACGAACTACTGATCGCATCTGTGCTCTGAGGGTCGAGTAAGCGCGATGCCGAGCACTTCCCAGACTCCTTGGCCTCGATGTACTCTATCATGTCCGTTAATGGCATGTCCTGGTTCTTCTCACCGAGCAGGTCATTGTATTTCTTGGTCCGCGATGCTGCGGGCAATCACATTGCGTAGTATCTCTTCCGTGAAGTCGTTGACTTGATCGCACTCCGCCTTGGTGCACTTCATCTCATACTCCGCTTGGACGGCGAGCGCCTTCATGGCGGCGAGGACGTGTTTTTCATGGGTACTAAACTTGTCAGACCCGACATAGTCGCACAGCTACTGGAGTGCTGCGAGGAGGAGCTGAGGAAAGATCTCACTCGCGCGGCGGGCAAGAGCCTAGCGGGCAGTGAGCTTGTACTCGCCCCAGCGGGTTATGAAGTACGACCAGGCCTCGCCTGTTCCGGCCAGTGCTATGGAGGGACGCTTAAGTTTCTCCATCTGGGCATTCACGCCCGGCGCCCTGGGGACTGTGACGTGCACAGTGGCGTGTATACTCAGTATGGCCGCCACCACTGCCGCCTCTGCTTGCGTAGCCACATAGTCACAACCCTCGATCGGGCACTCCGCATTCACAGGCGCCATTGGGACAGTTATTCTGTAGCAAATGTTCTACCTTTGGTGATACACACGTGTGTACAGTGTTCTGGGGGTATCGATTGGGTACAGTACCTGTCGACGTTCTGGTGGTTCGTTTGCACCCAGCCGTATCCTCCTCAGCACGGACGATCTCCGCATGACTGCATCAAGTTGTTTAGTTATAAATAAGAACAGAGTTCCATTTGTTCGATCACTTTACTAGAGAGAATCAGCGTGAAATGACAATAACTAAACAAGTATTGCACAGATTGAAACGCAGGCGTGCTTACAATCCTCTCTGGTTCCGGTTCCGATCGCGCATGCGTGCTGGTACAAGGGACCATCTATTATGCAGGAGCGCCGTATAGTACGATGTTCTCTAGATTTCAGTATAAATTATGCCAATAACGCAAAGATGCATGTGTGAACAACTTTCGAGTTTACCTAGTATCATTTATTGAAAGGTTTCCTTAATATATCTCATCCTCACCAAAGTTTCTGTAATTGTCATCATGAACATCTGATGTCTCCATGACCATTTTCTCATTGCATCATTCATACACATGCAGTTACATCTCATTCTCAATTATATACTTAATAAAGCAACGAACATTCACTAATTAAATAGCATTCATTAATAAACATAACATTGTTTGAATGCATACTATTTCAGTTATTAGTATTTTGATTACAATATATGTCCATACTATGACAGCTATATAATACCATTTACACATGAAACAGGAGTCACGCATATTTTTTATTATTAATATCAAATGGTACTTAAATTAAAGGTTTTCATAGATATTAATAATAAGAAATATAAGAAATTATTATACACGTTTCTTCCCTGCTGTGTCTAAAATGCAAACGCATTTATTTCATTGCTATTTTTTAAACTTGCTACATTATAAATTATCACATTTGCAGGTTTCATACAAGTATACACGTACACAATTTCCCTATTTTCATTGCTTTAATTGCTTGTACAATGTATTTAGAGGTTAACATTCCTCCTTGTTCATATACATGTAGTTAGATGTGCATTAAACATGAATCAATATTTATGCTTTGCAAGTTAATTACATGCATGTCTGAGTGTGCATTTCTGTAGTATTAGAATTAAGAAATCCAGGGAGCAAAAAGACATCCATAAATAAATGATATGACCGAGACTGACTGAACTGACTGCTGTTAACTGACTGACCACGAAGAACCGACACTGCATATCTACCTAAAATACCCCACAATGAATAACATACACACACGTAAAAATAAAAATAAAATAAAAAAGCACAGGCAGATAGTCGATCGGTTCAGTACAGAAAACAAATGCACGCACGATTTTACATAGCTTCTGTATAACATTCATGCATATTATGTAGTATACGACAAGTGCATACGAGCGAACGCGCGATCCAACGTTTCAGCTATGTACAAATGACCTATGACCCGATGACGTCATAGGGCTCCAGTGCGTAACTACGAACTGCCTTATTAACTGTTTAATCGGTAGAAAGTCATTTACATCATCCCTGATTGCATGCACATCTCCTTTCAGCATTTCTTCTTTTATACAAGCCTGAGTGTACGTCACTGGAGTCTACTGGAGAGAGTGCATCCGTATCCACACGTTTAACGTCTGACGAATTAGCTGTTTAACCCGCAGAACCGTCCATCACATCACTCCCGATTGCTTGTACATGGCCTTTCTTTGGTGCGAGTGCGTGCGCGCGTGGCTCTTGAGATGCGCCAGCTGCGAACACCTGTACTCACATACATCGCACGCGTACGGTTTCTCTCCCGTGTGCGTGCGCGCGTGCCTTTTCAGGCTGTCGCGGGAGCCCGTCATGTACTCGCATACATCGCACGCGTACGGTTTCTCTCCCGTGTGCGTGAGAAAGTGCTTCTTGAGGCTGCTGGAGGTGGTGTAGGTGTACCCGCATACATCGCACGCGTACGGTTTCTCTCCCGTGTGCGTGAGCGCGTGTCTCTGGAGACTAGCCAGCTGAGAACTCCTGTACTCGCATACATCGCACGCATACGGTTTCTCTCCCGTGTGCGTTCGCATGTGCTCTTTCAGGCTGTTGCGGTAGCAAGTCCTGTACTCGCACGCGTCACACGCGTAAGGTTTCCCACCCGTGTGCGTGAGAAAGTGCGTCTTGAGGCTGCTGGAGCAGGTGTAGGCGGAGCCGCATATGTCGCATGCGTACGGTTTCTCTCCGGTGTGCGTGCGCACGTGGATCTGGAGACTCGCCAGTTGAGAACTCCTGTACTCACATACATCGCACGCGTGCGGTTTCTCTCCCGTGTGCGTTCGCATGTGCTTTTTCAGGCTGT